CATGTATCAAAAAAACAGCGCTAATTTGTCAAAATAACAACAATCAAAATGTCGAAAAGACAGTCCAGTTTAATTTCATTAAACAAAGGTTTCTCATTGTCCTTAGTTGCAGGCAGTGGCTATAGAGATTGGAGGAGGAGCGAGCGAGTGGTGGGGGTGAGTGCCGAGATAACCAAGCAGTCATACGTAGGCAGGAGCCCACAGCCAGACGCCAGGAACAGACGGAGGAGGCACCTGGCAGTTTCACGGGTGGAGTCGGACAGTGAATTCAGCAGAGAAAAACCAGCTCGGAACTGTCAAGTAAGGGGGAGAGGCGTAGGATGCTAGTGGAGTGTTTACAAATGTAGGTAAACGTAGATGTTCAACAACTCTTTCAAATACACCAAAATGCAGGAAATCACGTCTACTTTATTCAAAATTGTCTGGCGGAAACCCCCCAGAACCCATGCCCCCCACCCCGCTGACTTGCCAGCTATTAGCATTACATCATCTATCGGTTTACAAATTAAGCCCTGCATAAAGGTGCCTGCTAGTGCTTTCAAATGTTACTAAATACACTCCTGCCTATTCCCAATCAAAGTGAATCAAAGTTTATGTTTTTTTACAATGACAAGTTTTGAAGTTTTTCTTTCTCTGTGCTCGACTAAGCTAGCTGGTTGAAGGTGTTTGATGTGTTTTCTGGTAGAAAGTTTAAAAAGTCAATTTTCCAAACTGTCAGAATATTTTTTTTTAAACAAAATGAGCAGTTCCCTGGTATTATTCATAACATGTCGACTCTTACATGTCAGCTTCATGCATTTATTTGCATTTCGTGTGCCGTTAGCACAGATACTAAAACATACTGGTAAATTGTACCAACTAAATTACATCCTCAGCCAAAAGCAACACCGTCCTACTCAGACATCCTTCATATATTTACTTCTTTGTCATGCCTGAAATGCAACGTTTTTTCTGAATGTTGCTGCAAAAAAAGGCAAATCCAAATAAGTGGAAAATAAACATTATTTGATCAACTTTTTTTTTATTGAAAAGTTGATATTTGTTATAATGTGTTTATCTCAATTTGTTTACTATGAAAACCATGTAGTAATACATGGTATAGCCCAGTACTTACAGGGTATGTACTGTAGGCCTATATGGTAGTTATAGAGTATGTAGTGGTACTGCTGTGTGCATATCTGGTACGTATAAATACGTACGTAGCACTTACCAAGTACATACCTGGTACTTTTGGTGAATGTACTTGATACTTACTGAATATGTACAAAAAGAGTACAAACTTGGTACACAAGTGCATGCTTGGTACTTACTTAATATGTCTCTGACACCTACAGGGTGCACCCCATTGTCCTACAGTGTACGTACCAGGTACATACTTTATAATTAACTCTACTCTGGTGCATACCCAGGTACAGGTACCCCATTTGTATTTATGTATTTATGTATTTCTATTACAGGTGTAACAAAATCTCTTGGCACGAGACCTCGTCTGACTAAAACATTGTGGGATATCTTGTCAACATGAGAACTGTTGTCTGGTTATTTTGTCAGAAAAAATTATCACCACACCACCACAAATTTTTTTTTATTTTGTCAAGAAAATATATTAAAAAAAAGGTTTGTTCCCGTTCAGGTTCTTAATTCTGACCATGTTTGAAAGTAGTTTTGACTTCTTTGATTTAAAAAGGCATAAAATATCAGACAGAGTAGATTCTCATTAAATGAGTTTGTGGCAAAAGCTTTTTTTTTTTTTGGTGAATATATTGCTTAAAATGATTTAGTCTCATATCACCTTGTGAAAAAAGCATCTCATTTCACCTACTTGCTACCCAAAGTCATGCAAAGGCCAGTATACTGAATGATTAATGAAGTTTTTGCCAGATTTACTGAAACATCAATAGATGTATTTTAGTTAGGAATTTATTTTGGATGTAATTTATTGTTAATTTGGACTGTATTGATATTTCCATTAAGTAGAGTTAAAATAGATGTTTTACTGTGCGCCCCACATAATTTCTGAATCAACATCAGTCATTTATTGGAATAAATTCAGAGACGACAGGAGAAAAAATTGCACTTCTAAATGTTAATGTTATGAAAACGTGTTCATGTGAATTACTGGTAATTGTTTCCCTAAACCCAATCAACAAGCAATTCAACAAAAATACTAGGAATCAAATACTCAAATCATTGAAGGTATTCCATTTTAAAAGCAAACCTGATAATCTTTTTGGTCCGTTCCAAAGTGATCAGTATGTTTCAAGCACCGTACTTTTTTCATACAGTGATGTCCCTGTGAAGGAGTTCAAAGTTGCCATCAACTCGTAGCCCGCTGCGAATCCTCTCCAGAGCAGCCGAAGTGCATTTGGAAAAGTGCTTTACTCAACAAATGGAAGTTAGGCAGCAGAGAGGGGCCACTGATCTCTTGTGGCGTTTCTTCCTCAATCCCTCCCCAAGAACTGGGTCACATAAGATGATGGGTGCAGCCCCAGACTTTCTGCACAAGTGTCTTTTCTGGGCATCATGAATAACTTATTGGTTTCACTCTGCTCTGAAGGCATTACTGTGTCAGACACAAGGAAAACCCTTGTTGACAAACCCTTTCCCACATCCCAGACATCAGATTTCATCATCCAACACCGCATTGGGTTTTTCTTGTGCAAGAAAAATCTAATGCAGAAGTCCATCTTGGAGCTCAGTCTGTAATAGATTTAATTATGCCTCCACTCAAATGCATTTCCCTTTTTTTTGGTCTTGGTTTGTATTGACGATTTCATCAGTATAGATGCATAAATGCATTTGTGCATCATGCTCTTTGCCACATGCTCTGGTGAAATGGGAGGTTCACATGCCCGGCTGCTCTTTAAATGGACTGGCAGGTCATGACCCCTTAAATGTTATCTATAAAACTCATGGGAGTGAGTGCATAATGGATCATTTGCAGAGACACCGTGAGTGCATATTAAAGACAGGAGATGGGATGAAAACCAGCACAGTTATGAAGTCTTGATCAGAGTGGATCACAACTTTTCTGCTTTGGATTAAAAATAAATAAACAGCCCCCAAAGTAACTAAAGAGGGAATGATGACGAACGAATTGCCCCAACAACAAGGACACAGTTGTTGTCCTTGTTTGCTTGTAACGATTATACCAATCATTTTTCTCTTTTAGGTTCTATTCCGGATTCGAAGTCTAAGTATTGACCCCCAGTACAGAACCACACATTTCTGAATGATTCCTCTTCTTCCTGTAAATGCTTTGTGTGACAATGACTGCTAGCTGGACTTTGTCTTGCTCCATCTTTTCTCTACTTTTTTTATTGTAATTTTAAACTTGTTGCCTCCCAAACCAACCTTTGTTTGACATTTTGATAATGATGTGTGTCTTGTAACCTGCCTGCCATATCAGCTATGAAGTAAGAATTAAATGTCAAGCTCATGGTAAAAGGCTTGTTATCAGGTGGATGTACGAATCATTTAAACTAGAGCTTTCTTGAGAGTTTTCCTTTTTTTTTTACAAGCTTTAACAGCAAGGAAGAGATTTTACTGGAATAGCATGTGATTTAAAACTAACAATATTTCTTATGCCGTGTGATATGATACACAACAATAGACTTTGTTGTTTCCCTGAGGAAACATGATAGTTTGTTATGTGCCATTACAACCAGTAACACTTTATAATTTATCTTTACGCCATACATTGTTTATCAGGTTAACAGATGAACTCATTGAAGTTTTCTAAAAAATACTCTTAAAATAAAAAGGCAGAAAGGAGATGTCCTGTTTATAAACTTGAAACTTTGGTCAGAATGCTGCTATTTACCTCAGAAGTTAGACCTCACATCTGGGAATGTCGTCCGACTTAACCTGGTTCCACTTGCAAGTCAGAAAATGTTTGGCTAATTTTGCTCAGTGACCAGGCTAACGTCCATTAGCGCTACAAGCTAATGGGTTTTGCTGCCTTCTAGGCATTCAGAGCAACAAGTTCACTATTAGAGGTTGGACAATGTGACCGAATTACTAAAATACAAACTGACAGAAATGTAAACAGAAGCTTTATTCCTGCAACAATCGCAATTTTTTATGCATGAGTAAGACATGTCGGGGCAGTACTGGTCAAGAATCTCTGATGGTAATATTGTGGTAGTTTGTACCCAAGCAATGAAGAAACGTGTCCTCTGCATTTGACCCATCACGTGAGATACATCCAAGTGGAGCAGCAGCTATTTAAGGGCCCAGGGAGCAGGGTCTTGCTCAAGGACACCACGACATGTGGACATAACAAGGAATCAAACCTGTGCCTTTCTGTTTGCCAGATTAGCTGCCACTGCACCACTCCAAGTTAAAATCCTAACTTTGTTGTGTGCAGACTTAGAATTCAAACAGTTTGACTTCCTGGTCCAAACAGAACGCACCAGTCAAACGAGTTGTTTCACTTGGGAAGAGGAACACGTATTGCAGTGTGTATATTTTTTTTATTTTATGTGGAACTGGTCAACATATTCAATAAGAAAAACGCCAAAACAAATGGAACTGGAACAGGTCATTTTACTCATATTATATTTGTTTATGCCATGAGGATTTTGATGGAACCCAATCGTACAGAGAGCCTCTCGTTCCAGTGTTGCCTCGTCCTGCTGATCATGTTGCTGTCAGATGATGCTTCTTGAACTGTCTCGTTGTGGGTGAGGCACATTAGGGTGTATGCATCACTGAACAAATCCCATTTATATCCCATTTTTGGAGTTCACAAAGGAAAAAAAAAAAGCATGCCACTTTATTCCCTTAGTGCACAGACCAGGCCATCAACTCTGCCAACAAAATGTTTAATGGTTCACTGAAAGATTAATTATTTATCTGGACTAGCTTACATCTGCCAGATTCTTACACAGGCACATGTTGTTGTTTGTTGCCCAACTAGACTCAATGTCAGTGCTGAGAAAAACTGAAACTCATGACCCTGCAGATACAAGATCACATTTTAGTTTGCTTGGTCGGCTTTATACGACAGTGCTAATAGTAGAGGAGTCCTCTGATTTACCCTGTCGGCTGGGCAATGACTTTAGATACTCCAAGTGTCTGCGGGCATCCTCCTGATTAGCCCTGACATAGTAGACCAGGTAGGAGATGACCATGGTGAACCAGCCAAACATAACAACCAGCATGGCCACATCTGTAGTCCTCTTCATCATCACACATAAATCTATGTCTGGTTCTAAAAGGAAGGCACGTCCTTCAACTCCCATTTCCTTTGGATCAGAAGTCTGGCACACGATGCCTGCCAAAGATGCAGGCTCCAAGTCCACACGAAGCACAGCCCTCTGTAATTTGCAGTCACAATGCCAATGGTTGTTTGTTAGGTTGGCGCGAGCTCGCAGGCCCTCAAAGGCAGCAGGGTTTAAGTTAATTAACTTGTTTGAAGACAGATCTAGGAACTGTAAGGAGGAGCCCAGGCCCCTGAACGCACCGGGTTCTAGCAGGTTTAACTCGTTGTGCGATAGGTCCAGTTCGATCAGGTTGGTTAAAGAAGCGAAGGCGTTTGTTGGAATTGTAGTGAAGAGATTGAAGTCCAGGTAGACCCGTCTTGTGTCATTGGGGATGTCCTCGGGGATCTCTGTGAGCTGCAGGTTGCTGCAGCGCACCGTCTTGCCACCGGTCTCGCTCTCAGAGCAGTAGCACCTCTTGGAACAGGTGGTGGCCGCATGATGGAAGCAGAAGGTCATCAAAACCAAACTGTGGAGCAGCAAACACATGACCACTGAGTGGCGCAGCAACCAGTCTGCGAGGAGGGGCATTGTGGTCTTTGGGCATGCTCCAAGGAAGACCAGCAGGGCTCAGGGATGAGGTCCACATCAACATCACCACTTACTGATGAACCTGTGGCAGAAAAGCAACAAAACGTTGTAATGACGGACTTTGCTTTAAACTTATGTAAAACAGTGATTAGCAGCATTCTTCAAAAGTAGTTCTGTCCTCTGGGGGGTGCAGAGGTTTGTCTTTGCAGTGTGGAGGAGGCAGGAAAGCCACATGCATTTTTCAGTCAGAAAAAGGACCATTCTTTGTTTTACATCAAGAAAAAAACCCACAAAAAAATCACTTCAACCCAGCACAATAAACAAGCAAAAGAAATACTTTGGTATCGCTGCGCCTCTTATAATTGACATCCCTGCAGTGCGGGGCTATTTCAGTACACAGAGGCTGGCATTAATATGTGACACCATGTGGGGAAAAAAAGTCACAAGCCAAACCTTATTATAAATCTAACCACATTTAAACATAACGTTTTCCCCTTCAATTATCGTTAAAATATTCTTGCTTCGTGTTATCCTTTGATATCACATATAAAGTTCAGTCCATTTCACAAAGCTTATCTATCAGGCTGCTAAATTACACGCTATATTTGTGCATAAACTATTGAAAATAGCACATCCACCCACCAGAACACACCTCATTAATAGCTGATGAGGCTTTCCACCTATCCTGTTACTAATCCTCCTAAAGAAAATCTCCCTCACTGAGCCAAGCAGCAGCTTTGGCCACCCAATCCTTTTATTGAGATAAATGTCAACATCGTAACCAGCGGCACGGACGACAAACACAACAACGTGATGCTCCGAGGAATTCAACAAGACGTCTTGAATTCTTCTAAAAGACATGGGACTGCAAGACCCACTTATCAAGATTACAAAAAACGAAATGGACCTCTTGGTACCTCGAAGTATCGCATGGCACCAGCGGGTTGAGAACAGTGTGTTAGGTTTGTGGGGAAAGGAGAGATAATTTTACTTAACAGCTGAGCTGGAGATCCTCAACAATAAACCACAAGAGAAGAGAAGTCTGAAACAAAAACTAAACATTTGCCACTACTTTCATCCAGCATGGAAACAACTGAACATCCGAGCGAAGGTCTTGCATGGTTAGTGTTTCTGCGCCGGCTAAACCGGTAGTTTTCCCATCACTGCCAGCTTGATGTTTCGCTGAGAGATAATTAGGGAGCAGAAAAAAAGGGGGTCTGGCGTTAAAGGGCGGAGAAAACATGTGGACAACAAGTGAAATTGGACACATGAGTGCAGGGTTGGGAGAGAACAAAAGATATCAAGGGGATTTAAAGAGAAGGGCTATAAAATTACAATGACAGCACAGAGAACGTTGCAGGACACTAATGAGATATCGAGGAAAAGAGCCAATGTCGGAGAGGAAGATGAGTAAGAAAGAAGAATTGGAAAAAGAGAGCGCGATCCTAATGAGAAACAGGAGGTACCATAAACTACAAGTCAAATAAAGGCATTATCATCCTTAATTTGTCAACTGTTTTTCCCCCCCGTCATAAATATTTCCCCTGGTTTTAATTTACACAACAACTGCAGCACTATTGGAGCCACGGGTCAGACGCTGGCTTCATATATTCTCTGCTGTCGAAGCTGCAGTGAGGCCACTGGCACCAGTTGTATGAGGAGCTATAATATGGATTAAACATCAGAGGCGTTAATGCAGCAGAAATTTATGATGCTCATATATTTTTGTGATGCTGGGCCTATAGTCAAATGCATCATAAGCCTTCGCCGCTGTCCTAAAGACAGCGTGAATGGTAAAGAAGGGGGTGCTTTTAAGTAAATTATGTTAAAAATTATATGTAAAAAAGGAAATAAACGCATCATCTTTTAACTTCAAAATGTTTTTTGTGTTACTTATTGTTTACTGAATCAGAATCAGAATGTCATTATTGTCATTATACACAAGTACAATGAGATTGAGTCACTTCTTTTCAGTGCAAACATGCTCAAAAAACGCAGCTAAAAATACGAAAAAATATAACGCTATATAGATATAGCACTAAGAAAGTAAAAAATAAAAGTTATTTCTCAATTATATAAATTTGAATATTGCACATTATGAATATTAGTGGGGTAATTAAGAGTATGAAATGTCAGTAGTATTGCACAATAGAAGTCCAGGGGTTTGGGAGGTTAGATTATTACATCAGTGCATATGTGACTGGGTGTGATACTATTATTATTTGTTTGTTCAATATTTTGTGTTTTTTATGTTAATCATAAATTCATTGTTCACCTTAAGCTGATTTATTAACTCAATCAAATACCTGAAAACTTATTTCTTTACTGTTTTCTTGACTGTCTGTATATGTTGACGTATTTCAATAAAGGTTTTTTTTTTATTGCCATGCACCCATTAATTTAGGCCTATCTTGATGATCAGGCACTTTTTTGTTCCTTAGATCGGTGTTTCAAACTTCTGTTGCTCCACAAGTTCAATATCTTTGGTTTTGGCTTTCTGCAATGCACAAAAACATAATCCATTTGTGGTGATCTGGGCGCCAAACATAAATAAAAAGATGAATTATTAATAGGAGTAATATTATATCTCGTATAAGTTGTATTTTCTACCTCAAATAGAACTTTGTATGAGCCACAAACAGCCTGATGGCACAAAAGATGCAGGAAAGAAGCGTTTCCAGCCCCAAATACCCACAATGAACCCAAAAGACAAATATAATTAATGAAACTGAGCTTATTGTCCTTGGTGTTTAAGTGATGCAGTGAATTTTTTTAATCCCAGCACTGAAACTGAAGACAGCATGCACCAATACGCACATAACGCATATAAATCACACATTCTGCGCACTGAGCCGAATTACGCACTCACGTCTTTAACGCGGCTTCTCCTCCTCCATCCTCACGATGTTGTATTTCTCGTGCTCCGAAAGACCTCGGTCCTGCAGCTCAGTGCTCTCCTCCCTGGGTAAAGGCTCAGCCTGGTCTGTTTCCAAACAGGTCCTCCTCCTCCTGCGCCGCCGCTCCGGGAGCCGTGACGCGCCTCTGGAAAGGCTCGGCCACTTCAGAGCTGGTGCAGCAGTTTCCACGCAACCAGGAGGAACAAAAAAGAGGGCAGCTTTGCCAGACTGGTAAGCACAGCGATGCCAGGTCACTGTGTCAAAGATTGCGATCCATCAGTATGACAAAAAAAAAAATATTTAAGCAATAATAACGCACAGGCGTGAGGGCGCGCAGACAAAAGGCTGAAAGGGACTGAGAGCGCGCAGAGCAAACTCTTACAAGCAGCCTCTGTGTAATTGTCCGACTCAGTGCTTTCATTCACACGCGCCTGTTGATTGCTGTGAGCGCACGGAGCTGTGCATCATGTATCAGGTGCCTGCAAATGAGCACTCCTCCCACACAAACAGAGAATTCATCTCATGCTCACACATGGAGCCGTCAGGCTGGCAGCCTGTAATCATGTTGGATCTGAAAGCTTGTTGTTTCAAACATGCAGCCTGGGAACTGCCAGGACTGAGGATCCTTGGCAGGGCTTTTTTCCTGCCTGTTGCCAGCTGATAAGGAAGTCCAATCAAATGCACAATAACAAAAAAACAAAACAGAAGAACAGCAGCCTGAGAGAGTCAGCCAAGAAGCTGGAAGTATAAGGTAATAACAGAACTAAAATCAATAAAGTGCATACTCCACCCAGACTCTTTTATTTTCTCTTTAAAGATGAATAAACCTGCACCAAATTTTCATGTATTTAAAAGTATTCTGTCAATTTTTCTCTATTGATAACTCAGGCTTTAATGAAACGCATGCATGCTTTGCTCAAAATACAACAACCAAAGCTTTCATATACAGCATGTCTTTAGAGATGCTTTCTTTGCAGCAGATGTTTCACTTCTCTTCTCCCATCTGGATCCATCCCATCACCAGAAGGTCATGCAGCCCCAAAGCCCAGACTAAACATCCAGTGAAAACTTCTTCCCTGAGGCTCATCAGCTTGTGCTGTGTTCCCAGACATTGGCGTTTCAAATAGGACAAATTAATTCAGAAAGTTGGAGATTCCTGACCCTAAAATCCAATATGGCTGACTTCTACAAGAAAAGTGAAAGCATCAATCATAAACTTTTCATTTTAGCTTTTACCAATTTGCATAGAGTACTTTCCAAACACAGAAAACATCCATCTGTAGTTGACATCTGTAGTACTTTATCACTGCATTATCTACAACTAATATTATATCCTTAAAAAACGGTTTACAAATGCTTATTGTGCTTACAAGTATGTGGTGCTGTTTGTAAAGTTACACAGTCCAAAATAAACAGCAATATTTTGATTTATTTAGACTTTAATAATTAAAAAAAAACTTTTTTCATAATATATATTGGATATTTTCACCATGTTATTCATACATTTATAAATGTCATAATTCTAAACTAAATATTTAACTTACAAGTTAAATATTTAGTTAGGTGTAAATTAAATGTTTAATTTCCAAGCTAAGCAGAGCAGCACGGTGGCGCAACTGGTAGAGCTGCTGCCTCTCAGTGAGAAGGTTGCCGGTTCAAATCCCGGTCCAGGGGCCTTTCTGGGTGGAGTTTGCATGTTCTCTCCGTGCATGCGTGAGTTTTCTCCTGGTACTCCAGTTTCCTCCCACAGACCAAAAACATACATGTTAGGCTGATTGGTAACTCTAAATTGTCCCTAGGTGTGAGTGAGAGAGTGAATGGTTGTTTGTCTCGTTTGTCTCTATGTGTCCCTGTAATGGACTGGAGACCTGTCCAGGTTGTCCCCTGCCCCTCGCACAGTGATTGCTGGACATGGGCGCCGGTGACGCCCCGTGACCCAAAATGGAAGAAGCGGGTAAAAGATAATGGATGGATGGATGGAATTTCCAAGCTAAATAATTATTTTCAAAACTAAACATTTAATTTCTAAACCAAATATTTATTGTCTAAGCTAAATATTTAATTTCCAAACTAGGCATTTAATTTCTAAGCTAAAAATCTGATTCCTAAATGAAATGT